TCTTATCTCTCCTTGCTATTCTCTGGAACTCTGAATTCAGTTGGTTGTATCTTTCCCTTTCTGCTTTGCCTTTTGCTTCTCTTCTTTTCTCAGCTATTTGTAAGGCCTCCTCAGACAATCATCGTGCCTTCGTGTGTTTCTTTTTCTTTAGATGGTTTTGGTCACTGCCTCCTACGCAGTGTTATGAATCTCCGTCCATAGTTCTTCAGCCACTCTTGTCTATCAGATCTAATCCCTTGAATCTATTCATCACCTTTACTGTATAATCATAAGGGATTTGATTTAGGTCATACTGAGTGGTGTAGTATTTTTCCTTGCTTTCTTCAATTTAAGCTTGAATTTTGCAATAAGGAGCTCATTATCTGAGCCATAGTCAGTTCCGTATCTTGTTTTTACTGACTGTATAGAGCTTCTCCATCTTGGGCTGCAAAGAACATGATCAATTTGATTTTGGTATTGACCATCTGGTAACATCCATGTGTGGAGTCATCTCTTGGGTTGTTGGCAAAGGGTGTTTGCTATGACCAGTGCTCTGCTCTTGACAGAACTCTGTTAGCCTTTTCCCTGCTTCATTTTGTACTCCACGCCCAAACTTGCCTGTTATTCTGGGTATCTCTTGACTTCCTACTTTTGCATTCCAGTCCCCTATGATGAAAAGGACATCTTTTTTTGGTCTAAGGTCTTGTAGGTCTTCATCAAACTGTTCAACTTCAGCTTCCTCAGCATTAGTGGTTTGGGGCATAGCCTTGGATTACTATGATGTTGAATGGTCTGCCTTGGAAATGAACCAAGATCATTCTGTCATTTTTGAGATTGCTCAGGTACTGCATTTTGGACTCTTTTGTTGACTATGAAGGCTGCTCCATTTCTTTTAAGAGATTCTTGCCCACTGAGTAGATATAATGGTCATCTGAATTAAATTCGCCCATTCCCGTCCATTTTATTTCACTGATTTATATTATAGAAGTAGAGGAATAAGAATTAGACTGTGCCTGGGTAGGTTCAGAAATGTTTCTGAGAAAGTCTGAAAGTGATTAGGGAAAGTTATTAACTGATACGACGAACTCGTTAAGATTTAGCCAGATTTGAGAAGCAAATGCATGTCTCAGGCGTTGTGAACTGATAAGCAGAGACATGGATTTGGAACCTATGCCTGCCTGTCCTTTATGGAAAATGAGAGCGGAAAATTTAGTAAGAATCTGGTAAGAATTTTATCCTGAGGCTCATTAAGATGGTTGAGATGAGAAAAAAAAAAAGTGGTTGAGATGACTTCAGTTCTCAAACTTTCAAATGATTCTCTTGTCCCCTTCCCCTGGACAGTTACCACAGCAAAATTTCTTGGAAGCGCTATCCATACTCACTATCTCCAATTTCTCTCCTCTCTTTCTTTGTTAAAGCCACTCCAGTCAAGTCTTCATCCCCACCTTCTACTCAAACTGCAAATGTCAAGGGTATCAGCCTCATGGCTTGAAATAATGTTTATATGCTAATAACTTCCCCAATGTGTATCTTCAACAGAGACCTCACTTCCAACACTGGACTTTTATACACAGCTGTATACTTGCTATCACCTCTTAGATGTCTAACAGATGGTTTCAAGTTTAGTATGTCCAAAAGCAAACATTTTGATCTCTGCTGCTGTTGCTAAGTTGCTTCAGTCATGTCCAACCCTGTGTGACCCCAGAGACAGCAGCCCACCAGGCTCCTCTGTTCCTGGGATTCCCCAGGCAAGAATACTGGAGTGGGTTGCCATTTCCTTCTCCAGTGCATGAGAGTGAAAAGTGAAAGTGAAGTCGCTCAGTGTGTCCAACTCTTCTGTGACTCCATGGACTGTAGCCTACCAGGCTCCACCATCCATGGGATTTTCCAGGCAAGAGTACTGGGGTGGGTTGCCATTTCCTTCTCCATTTGATCTCTAGTCTTTCAATAACTTCTCTACCCACAGCCTTCACCACCTCAGCTGATGACAGTTTAAAAATTCCAGGGACTTCCCTGGTGGTGCAGTGGCTAACACTTCACACTCCTAATGCAGGGGGTCTGAGTTCAATCCCTGATTGGGGCACTATATCCCACATTCCACAACTAAATATCCTGCATGTCACAACGAAAGTCAAAGATCCTGTGTGCAGAAATTAAGACCCAGCACAGCCCAATAAATAAATACAAATAAGTAAATGTTTTATAAAAATGAAAATTCCAGTTAAGTCGAAAGCCCTGGAAACCTCATCAATTCCTTTAGTTGTCCCACTCTACACTTTCAATCAGACAGGAAATCCTAGCTTGAGAAAACATCCAGAATCCTACCTCTTCACTTCCACTGCTTTTGCCTTGATCTGAGCCATCCTTATCTCTCACTGGGTTTACAGAAACAGCCTCCTAACTGATCATCTTGAGCTTACCTCTGCTCCTACGGTCTGTTCTCTACACTGAAGTCAGAGTGGGCCTTTTCTCACAGGAGGTTGCAGAGCATTCCTTTGCTCAGAGTCCTGCAGTGCCACTCCATTTCTCTTAGAATAAAAGCGAAAGTCCTTGCTGCAGCCTACAAGACCCTAGATAACTTGGCTCCCTATTCAGTTCAGTTCAGTTCAGTCACTCAGTCATGTCTGACTCTTTGCAACCCCATGGGCTGCAGCATGCCAGGCTTCCCCGTTTATCACCAACTCCCAAAGTTTGCTCAAACTCATGTCTATCAAGTCGGTGATGCTATCCAACCATCTCATGCTTTATCTTCCCCTTCTCCTCCTGCCTTCAGTCTTTCCCAGCATCAAGGTCTTTTCTGGTGAGTCAGTTCTTCGCATCAGGTAGCCAAAGTATAGGAGTTTCAGCTTCAGCATCAGTCCTTCCAATGAATATTCAGGATTGATTTCCTTCAGGATTGACTGATTTGTTCTCCTGGCCCCCTACTGGGTTTTTAATCTTATTACTGTCTGTCTGCACAGGCCTTTCTCACTCTTGGGCCTTCTCTGCTTCTTTCCCTCTGCACAAGTGGCTCTTCCCCCAGAAACCTGCGTGGCTCACTGCTGTATTTTCTTGAAGTTTTTGTTCAGTGTTGGTCACCTCCTCACTGAATCCTCTCCTGTTTATTCTTTAAGAATTTTAATCTTCCCTGACCATCTTGGCACCCCTGATTCCCTTTAACCTGCTCTTTTTTTTTTTTTTCCCCATAATACTGTCATTTTTAAATAGAGCATAGAAATTTAAAATTATATTTACTCTTTGTTATCTGTCCTCCTCCTGTACCAGTTACTGCAGTAGAAAATAAACTTCACAAAGGCAGGGGTCTTTGTTTTGTTACTTTTATATCCCAGGCACCTGGAATAGGGGATGGAACATGGTTAATGTCCAAGAAATGATTCTTAAAATCTTATCAAAGTATGTGTGTATATATATGTGTGTGTGCATTATATATATATAACAATACCAAGAACAATGTTCTATATATATAGAACAATGCCAACTCAATTCAGTCATATTCAACTCTTTGCAACCCCATGGACCATAGCCCACCAGGCTCCTCTGTCCATGGGATTTTCCAGGCAAGAATACTGCAGTGGGTTGCCATGCCCTTCTCCTATATATATATGTGAAATTTTAATAACTTTTCATGAACTGAGCAGAGATGTAACCAAAAACAGAACCTTAACTAGCACAGAAGCTGCCAAGGGCTCTTTTAGTCACTGTTCTCCCCCAAGCCTAACTACTATCCTGATTGCTAATAATATATATTAGTTTTACTTGTTTTGTACTTTATTCAAATGGAATTGTACAGTAAGGGTTCTTTTATATCTGCTTTTAATCAACATTGTATTAATGAAATTAATCTACATTGTTGCATGTAGTAGTTTGCTCATTCTTATTGTTATATAATAATAGTCCGTTGTATGAATATAACCCAGTTTATCCTGAATGAACAAATTTAAGCCCCAGATCCTTTCTGTCCTTTGTGTCACCAGAGTTGTTGGGAAGAATTAATATACAGAAAGCATCTACCCAGTATATAGTAGGTGCTCAATTAAGGTTAGCTAATAATTTTGTTATATTCAGATATTTTATTGAACCCTCATTGATCTCTTCCTCGTCTGAAGTCCTATACAGTTACTGTAGCACCCTTAAGATGCCAACCTGGCTTTACCACTGGAAAGGGCCAATACTTGTGACCTTATGGACCTGGTTTCTCCTCGGGACATGAAACAAGCTGGGCCAATTTGATTTTTGCTTTCCAGGGAGTAGGCAAATCTGAAACAGTGACCATCAACTGAGAGTTGCTGGAGTTAACCCGACTGGACCCTTTGGGGAAAAATTCAGGCCTTTGGTGAGGTTTTTGGGAACCTCACCAAAGGCCTGGGAACTCTCAGGCTTCTGCCTTCCCTGAAGTTGGCTATTTAATCCTATCTGCCATCCAGGGATCCTGTATTCCTGGAATCTGCCCTTAATACCCTCCTAGTACAAGCCTCTTTTCCTTTTATTAGGCTCAGTTTTTGTAGCTTGCCTCCAAAAGGACCTCAAAACTCATTTTTGCTTAAATTATCAGCCATTATAGTGTTGTGAATCCTTAATTGAATAACACCAGTTCTTTCATCTATCCGTCCACCCATTCAAGTTTTAAACATTATTGAGGGCTTATGATTTGTCAGGCACTGCAGGGTAGATCCTCTTATTCTCATTTTCAAATGAAAGACTGAGAGAGGCTGAAGGATTTTTGGGGTCCAAAGCTTATAGTAATAGAGGATGTTGGTTCAAGGTATCTTTGCTGTTCATCATGCTTGAGTGATCTTTTTTTTTTTTTGTCTATACATGTCTTTTCATCCCACTTAAATTCCTTGAGGTCAGGCTATCTTATACATCCCCCCCTGGTGGACAAAATCATCTGCTGTGTGGTAAACATACTACAGAATTGTTGATGGACTGCTCATATGGGCAAATCTTTGCTACTCTTCTCTCAGATGCTTCACCCCCTTCCCAAACCCAGGGGAAAAAAATCAAACAATGACCAAGCTGAATTCATCTGAAGGAGGATAATTTATTTAAGTTAGTTTGGCTCTGGTTCACAATTTTGTCTTCTTTTTCTATGTTGGAGTCATTAGAAGCCCCTTCAATCCCACCACATCTCCCTCACCACAAATCAGGGCAACTCAGAGATAGCTTTCTTGGCTGGGAGGCCCGTTGGCTTCTCCTGTTCTTTTGCTTTCTCTTCATACATCAGGATCCTGGTTGAGATGAGAAGAGACACGGGGATCAGAGGACAGTCTTCTCCAAAAGAATAAATTTTAATGCACTGTGAAAGTCCAGAAAAGGATGGGGATTGTGAGGGTAGGAAGAGAAGGAGAAAGGGCAGGAGTGAGAGTCCTGTGGGGACCAGAATCATGGATGAGAATAGCATCTGGGAAGGGTCTCTCAAAAGATAGAAGAGAAATTCATGCTGGATTATGTGTAGAAGGTGAGCCTGGGGATGGAGGCAGTAGGAAGAGAAAACAGTTAAGTATAGGAGAGGCTGGAACTGGACTCTCACATTTTTAGAATGGCAGATCTCTTGCCCAACATCATCTTGAGAAAGTCAGAGTAGCTGAAAGTCTCCCCAGAGCCACTGGATACCTCCATGATTAATTTCTTTAGCTCCAGGTGGGTCTTGGGGACCCCAAGTTTCTCCATCATTCGCTTCAGGGACATGATATCTGGAGGCGCAGAGGATGGGGGTGAGAAGAGGGAAGCCTCTTTCTCTCTCTGTTACCTCCCACCTCCTCATTACCATTCCCCATCCTACTCTGGTGGAGAAGGAAATGGCAACCCACTCCAGTATTCTTGCCTGAAGAATTCCATGGACAGTGGAGCCTGGCAGGCTGCAGTCCATGGGATCACAAAGAGTTGGACACAACTTAGCAATTAACACACACACACACGCATCCTACTCTGGTCACTGTCGTCTCTCCCAAACCACTGGAAATGGAGCACTGTAGCAAAGACCTCCCTCTTCCTAGATCTGCACACTTCCCCCAAATCACCCTTTTCTCACCGATACCTCCGTCTTCATTCAGGTCAAACTCCATGTATTTCTCTGGACGAGTGGAGAAAGCAGAGAGGGTCAGCACTGGCTGGAGGGTCACAGGCAGAGGCAGGGCAGGGACGGAGAAGGGGGTTGCAGATGGGAGAAGAGGAGGAGGAGGTGGGGCAGGTAGAGGAAGTAGGGTTCGGGGAGCTGAGGGGCCCTGTTACGGTGCAGGGAACTAGAGAGGGTCCTGAGAGGGTAGGCCAGGGAAGGGACTGTTACTCGGGCGGCAACAGAGGCAACCTTCCTTTTTCCCACCTCAAAAGTAGACTTTGAGTGCTTCCCTGGTGGCTGTGGTAAAGAACCGGCCTGCCGAACGCAGGAGACACAGGTTCACTCCCTGGCCCAGGAAGATCCCATATATGCCACAAAGCAACTAAGCCCGACCGCCACAACCACTGAGACTGTTTTGTAGAGCCCAGGGAACCGCAACTACTGAAGCCCTCTTGCCCTCAAAATGAGAAGTCCATGCAGCACAACCAGAGAGAAGCCCCTGCTCCCCGAAACTGGAGAAAAGCCTCCTGAGCAATGAAGACCCAGCTCCGCCAAAATAAATAAAAATAAATAATAAATAGATAAAATTATTTTTAAAAAATAGACTTTGTTTCTTCTGTCCTCTCTCTTCCTGGAGAAATCCTACCCTCCTCACCCCCTTCTCCACCCCTACAGCCGTCCCCTCACTCTTAAAGGCTTCCAGTTTGGAGGGCAGGTCCTCATCACTGCTGTATTTGGGATCATCCAGGAATTGCTGTGGGGGAAAAGCAAGAACCTGGGTGGGGCCCCCGCCCTGAACCAACACCACCATCCACCCCACCCACTGCCCTGGCCAAGGCCCTTTCTTTTACCTGGTTGATTTCATTGAGTCTCTCTTCCTGCTGGGCCTTCAGCAGCCCAAAGGCTTTTCCTCCTGAAGGAGCGCAAAGGTTAACATAGCTTCACCCCCACCTTCCTCTCCTCACCCCCAAGCTCAGCCTGAAGCCATTACAGTTCTGCTTTCATAGGCCAGCTTCCCAGCCCCCCAGCCCTGTACTGTCCAGCTCCTTTTTCCCATTTTAGAATCCTGCCTATTCCACCTTCCCTACCCTGTAAATCCCTGGTTTGGCTCATAGCTCAGCATGTGCTGGTTGAGATGCTGGAGGAAACAACCCAGACTGGATGCCTCTCTGTCTGCCAGCTCTCCTCTCCCATCAGCTTCCTGGAGGCCTGCCTCCCAAACTTCCCCTTTCCCCTCCTTCCCTCCTCCTCTAAGTCTCAGGCCTCACTTCCTCATCAGCTTCTGCTGACAGTAGCACCCAGGAAAAAGGGGGAGTGGGGTCTAGAAAGGAGAGGAGAAAACAACATTCTTAATTCCTCTAAAGGAGAGCCCAGGGTGTACAGGTAAGAAATGTTCTGATAAACCATGGGGGAAGGTCTGTAAGACCCCAGGGGCATTGATTCTCAGGAAGAGAGGATCTCTAAACAGGTCTGGAGTGGCTGAGGCCCAGGTTTCACAAGTCTGGACACGCAGGTTTAGATAGGAAGCTGAGGAAAGGCGGACTAAATTTTTCTGTACTCTGGACCGTAGAAGAACCTGAAGTCACTGGCAGATCTGGGAGGGTGGCAAGATGGGTGCAGGGTCCGGAAAGGGAGAGACACTACACTTCCGGCCTGGTGGCTCCACAGAGGCACTTGGAAATACGGAAGCGTCTGACAAGGGAGTCTTAGTTTGTTTGCTTGCTTTAGGACATGCAATGTAATCCCTTCATCTTATCTCCTTTGAAATTTTCAGTGAAGTCTACAGATCTCTGAAATTTGAGAATTTAAGTAGATTCTTTGGTGGGAGAATTCCCTGATGATTCAGTGGTTAGGACTCCAGCGCTCTCACTGCCATGGGCCCAGGTTCAGTCCCTGGTCGGGGAGCTAAAATCCCACAAGCTGCGTGGCACAGCCAAAAAAAAACAGTGGGTTCTTTGGAGGCCTGTGGTGCTGAAAGAGTGTTGGTGGATACAAGAGCCAAGGGTGAGGCTGACATTAGGGGTGTGAGGGATGCTGGTCACTGTGGGTTTGACAGAGTGAGAGTAACTCCCCACTCCTTACTCAACAGAGTGGGCAGTAGCCCCTGATAAATGCCCTCCTAGGCACACTCCTTTGGGCTAGTGGCTCTAGGGGAGACGAGGACTGTGCATCCCCCTAACTGAGACACTTCTGTCTCAACTCCCTGCGCAGAGCTCTAGCCACAATCTTAGCATTGATGGGCACACCTTTCCTTTTCTCTGCCCCCAACCCCCACCCCAACCTATTTCCCCTTCTGCAGAAGGGAGTTTTCACTTATCACTGCCCTTGCCCTGACCCATACGGGTTAGGGAGATGCCGGAGAGTTCTCTGGCCTCTTGAGTTCCCTTTATTGCTGCCTCTTCCTCTGCAGAGAAGACTGCAAACCTGCCCTTCTGAAGGTCTCGTTTTAAATGGAAGGTCTCCATTTTTTAAATTCATATGTTCATTCAATAAATGTTTATTGAGCACTTACTATATGCCGGGCGCCTTTCTTGGCCCAATGAGCCAGGTAAATGTAAACTCTGGTTCTCATGGACAATCTAATTAGGAAAGACAGATAAGAAAAACAAGTATATCAAAGATGATAGGTACCTATGGAGAAGAGAAAAGTAGGGAGGGGGATAGGAAGGGCTGCATGGATTGCAGATTTAAATAGGGTGCTCAGGGGGACTTCCCCGGTGGTCCAGTGGCTAAGGCTTCGTGCTCCCAATGCCAGGGGCCCAGGTTTGATCCCTGGTCAGGGAACTAGATCCCACATGCCACATGGCGCAGTGAAGATCGAAGAGCCTGTGTGCCGCAACTAACATCCGGCGTGGCGAAATAAATAAATATTACTTAAGAAAATAAATAAATAAGGTCCTCAGGGAGGCTTCCCTTAAGAAAGTGATATTTGGGCAAAGATTTCAAGCAGGTGAAGGAACAAGCCTCGTGGATATGCAGGAGAGGAGCACTTCAAGCACAGGGAACAAAAACTGCAAAGGTCCTAAAGCGAGGACAAGTCTGGAAGTCTTGAGTATTTGTGAAGCAGCAGGAGGCCAGTGGAGCTGGAGCCAGGTGTGTGAGGGGAAACAGAGGCAGGAGATGAGGCCAGATTGCCTACGGCCTTGTGGGCTTGAAAAGAATCTGGCTTTTATTTGGACTGAGATTGCCTCCCCAAGCAGCCTTTCCCTGAAGGTGACTTGGCAGACTACCAAGGTGAGGTAGAGCTGAGATGCTCAGGAAAACTTCTTAGGAAAGAGAAAGGGACAGCTACTCTGACCATGGGACAAAAGAACAAAGAGTAACAAGATGGGCGAATGAGTGAAACTCAGTGTAAACACAGACACGGGAAAGCCTGTGAAGAGCAGTGATGCAAGAAGACACCTCCCACCTAAACCCAGGGACCTCCGCCCACCCCACCCCCCACAGACCACAGACAGTCTGCAGTCAGAGCTGAAGGGGAGGTGGGGCCTCTGGGCCGAGAGCTGCCAGGGAGCCAGGAATCCACCATGAACCTAGAAATAAGGGAAGTAGGTAATTTTCTGACAGTGAGGCTGCAAACTCTCTCTCAGCAGAGGCAAGCAGTCTCCTTAAAGCAGTGGCTCCCGATGAGTGGTCCTTCCCCCAGCATATGTCAGAAATGGATCCATCCCAGACCTACCGAATCAGAAACTCTACAGGTGGCATCCAGCAATAGCTTTTCAGCAAATGCCTCAGATGATTCTGACACACACTCAAGGTTAAGAGCCACAGGCCCTGAAGCGACTGAGTGACTCCCCCAACCTGCAGGACTCGCTGTACTCACCAAAGGTATAAACGTGGCTGAAGTATGCAACATTGGGCAGTGGGGCTGTGGGTCTTGGAGGCAGAAAAAAGGAAGAGTCTCCAAGGCCAAAGTTGTTAGTCTTCAGCCAAGCAGTCAGGGAGAGAATGCTGAGCTGGCTCAGGAAGTGGCCCTCTAGAACCCTGTGAGGTTAGCATCCTTTATGAGCCTGGCGCCCTGTGGCTAAGGGGTAGGGGAGCCTTGATATGGTTCCACACTCTGCAGGGGAACTCTTGTTAGAATTAGGGCCCCTGTGTACCTCCACAAAAAATACAATGGCCAGAAAGCTTGTCTGTGTGTGTGTATGGGGGGTGGCATGGATGTCTTCTGCTTGCCCCCTCCATTTTCCCTCTCCCACTCTGTTCTCTGTCCCAAGAGACTAACCTGTATAGACTATGTCAAGGGCACCTCTGACTTCTAGCTGTTTTGGCCGGTGGGGAGCCTGGCAGGAAAAGAGCAGGGCAGGAGAACATTAAGTTAGGGGTATTTATTCCTCTGGCTCCTTTCCCACAAGGTCACCTCGGGCTGACTGACACCTCCATCTATGGGCAATGTTCCCCTCCAGGCAACCTGCTCTACATGACTCTGTCCTTTTCCACGTTTCAAAAGTCCAGGGAATAAGTCTCAGGAGGTCTGTGAATTTGGAAAAGATAAAAAGTACATCCTCTTCTCACATCCAGCATTACATGTGTCACCTTGTCAAAGACCACTTCATAATTTAAAGCTATTTTTTAAATTAATTAATTGTATTTGTTTTGCTGCCCCAGTCTTTTAGTTGCAGCACGTGAGATCTGATTCCCTGACCAGGGATCGAACCCGTGCCCCCTGCATTGGGAGCACAGAGTCTCAGCCACTGGACCATCAGGGAAATCTCTAAAGTTCTTACTCAAGCCAGCAACAACGTCTTCTACACTGTATATCTTTATTAAACTCTAACTTCAACTTGCCTGCATTTTAAATCTCTTATCATGTGGTAGTAAGTACATGGTTTATTCTATCCCAATGTTTATTGATATTTTGATAACTGAAACTTAGTGTAATGATCTTACTTTGTTATGTATTTTTTAATTTTATGTACCAGAATGCCAAAGAGATTTGTGGCACAAAATGAGTTAGAACCTCTGCTGTGATCTCTTCTCTGCTCATCCCTTTGGGCCGGGGTCGCAATATCCCTTGTGATTCCCTAAACCCCTCTGTGCTGTGTTGTGCATAGTCACTCAGTTGCACACAGCTCTTTGCGACCCCATGGACTGTAGCCCACCAGGCTCCTCTGTCCATGGGGATTCTCCAGGCAAGAATACTGGAGTGGGTTACCATGCCCTCCTCCAGGGGATCTTCCCAACCCAGTGATCAAACCTGGGTCCCCCTCATCACAGGCAGATTCTTTACCATCTGAGCCACCAGGGAAGCCCCTAAATCCCACTACCCCTGTGTAAATACACTATCTCCTCAAACCCCACTAGACCCCTGTAAATAAACTGTCTCCTCAAATTAATCAAACTTGAGGATGTGATTTCCGGCCGGGACCCTGAATGATGTGTGTGTGTGTGTGTGTGTGTGTGTGTGTGTGAGAGAGAGAGAGAGAGAGAGAGAGAGAGAAAGAGAGAGTTGGGGGGACTGGGAAGTAACGGGTCTCTGGTCTCGGCAGCCTTATTTCTTATTGTAAATGAACAAAAGGGCATCCTGGTGTTTGCACCAGACAGAGGAATTGGTTAACAAAAGGCTTTCCCTGAGGCCGGAGAACAAGTGAGGATTCTGAATCGACAGGGGACAGCTCCATAGAACCATAACCAACTCACCAAGGTTGCTACTGCCAAAGCCTTCTCTTTTCTAAAAAGCCTCCTTGTGGAGCTTTGAGGGGAATGTGGCAGCAGTTTATTTCTAAATTTCTCTTCTCAGCACCTGTAAAGAGATTGGAAACACACACACATACTACATTTTCAGTGAAGCTAGGAGATACAGAGTGCCTACAAGTTCCAATTTATGCATCTGGGTGATCAAATTCCCCACTGAGCAGGCAGTCCCAGGCATCCTTCCAGAAAACCAGGTGAATAGGGAGGGTCCCAGTGACTGCTTAAAAAAAAAAAAAGCAAATATTCCTTCCTGGGAGGAAAGGCCTAACCCCTGGAGAGAAAAGCTGAGAGCAGTGCTGACTGAGCAGATTAAATACCAGTAAAGGTGGAGACAGAATGCTTTTGTTTTTTAAAAAAATATTTATTTGTCTGTGCTGGGTCTTAATTGAGACACGTGGGATCTTCAGTTTTCGTTGTGGCATGTGGGACCTAGTTCCCTGACCAGGGACCGAACCTGGGCCCCCTGCACTGGGAGCGTGGAATCTTAGCCACTGGTTCAGTTCAGTCGCTCAGTCATGTCCGCCTCTTTGCGACCCCATGGACTGCAGCACACCAGGCCTCCCTGTCCATCACCAACTCCCAGAGTTTACTCAAACTCATGTCCATCGAGTCAGTGATGCCATCCAACCACCTCATCCTCTGTTGTCCCCTTCTCCTCCTGCTGTCAATTTTTCAAGGCATCAGGGTCTTTTCCAATGAGCTGGTTCTTCGCATCAGGTGGCCAAAGTATTGGAGTTTCAGCTTCAGCATCAGTCCTTCTGGTGAATATTCAGGACTGATTTCCTTTAGGATTGTATGGTTGGATCTCCTTGCAGTCCAAGGGACTCTCAAGAATCTTCTTCAACACCATTGGACCACCAGGGAAATCTGGGAGAATGTTTTAAAGCACCCAAAGGGACCCCAAGGCAGCCAATCTCAAAAAGTGCCAGCAAAATTCTCCTTTTAATATTAAGTTCATCACCTTAG